TGTTGGTATGTCCGTACTTGGGAGGAGAAGACACGCTTTAACTCTCTCTGATTAGGCACCCGCGGGAGCGAGGAAAGGAAGGGAAGAAGTGGCCCTCCCGAATTCGGGGAAGGGGGCCCACACATAGTAGCCTTTTCAGGCATACGCATGCTCCTGTCTACGTACCCCCCCGTGCTGCTAGCAGATCTACCATGCTCGTATCCAGACACACGAACATGCACAAGGGTTGATGTGTGCGTGCGTCAACTGGCCAACATTGTGCTTTGAGGGCACCTAGGCACACGATAACCAGGTATCAACGGCTGAAATCTCTGCATGGCAGTGCCCCGAGCATTGCTCGGAGCCCTTGACGAGCTGGCTACGACCAGTACTTGTAGCGAGAAATAAAGTTGATGTTCGTGCTGTATATGGACCCTGACCGTGTTGTCCAGGCTCTGGGATGAGACGTTGAGTGTTTCGGCCATCTCATGAGTGGTCTCCGTGAAGCCCATTTTCGAGTGCTGTACCCGCTCTCGTGCGAGGGGTGGGTATACTCATTTTGGTGCAATTCCCAAAAAAAATTGAGTGCTTCCATACAAAAACACAGCGGGTAATGTGTCACGGCGCGACGAACATCCTGGAAGTGTGGACAGGTCCAACAACGATGTGCAGGCCAAAGACTCGCTATTTTCCATGGTCGGCATCGCCGAGATGGGTCCACCGCGCGGTTTATTCTTTGGGTCCTAGAGGAGAAAGGACCCTCTTTTTGGGTGATACTGAATGTGTAGTCCGCGACCACGGAAGGCGTCCCGTCCGCGTCAGTTCTCTCAGTTGGATCAATGTGGATATTTGAAGGTACTGAGCGGAGACCGCAACGGTTTTTGTATAGTGAAGACAACAACAACAGCATCGCGGGCACCAGGGGGCGCCTTGTCACCGGCAGAAAGCGATCGCCAACATCGTGAGGCACTACATATACTAAACAGATTGCAGACTGTTGAATATGTAGACGCCCCACTCCTGCTTATTAGTTCAGATGTTTCAGTGCCGTTCTGACTCTGCTGCAATCCGACACGTTCAGGCAGCTACACAGAACTGCAACTCACCAACCAAGGGGGAGAGAGAGGTGCGTAAGTGGGAGGATCCCGACTGCTCGTCCTTGATCTGCCGGAGACTACCGCAGTATCACGGCGGTTACAGCCAGCAGCGTGTGTGAGAGACGGCTTGCCAGCGTTGGTCTGTGAAGAGGGTATGTAGGGTAGCTCGTGTGCTGGGGAACAAACAGCGAATGCCACACCAATCAAACGATCTGAGAGCAAATGGTCCCTCTTGCGGCCGCTATGTTCTCCGTGTGAGTGCTTGTGAGAACTGCCGGCAAGGGGCAGAGGGGAGGGAGCAAGAGAGAGCTGGCAGGGGGCACGCAGAGAGAGGCAGGATGGGAAGGCCTTTTCCCATTTCTTGGATGTTGGCAGGGACAGAGTGTCCCGTCGCCTCGTCTCGTGAGGAGGTGCGACGTGCATGCGCCACCGTGCCAATTAAAAGGCCCCACTGTTGTGGAAATATTGGCTCTAGTCCTGTGTAGTCAATGTTCAGCAGCATTGCTCTCTATCGTACGTAGAGATACCCGTGGTAGTCTATTTTTTTATTCATGCGTAACGCATCTGCAGTCGAGGGATCCCGTGTCTCTCACTCTCGCATTCAGCTCTCGCATGGACTTCTCTGGAGAGCCATGGCTCTTAGCTTGCCTGGTCAGCTCTAGGAACTGCCGTCATCTGGACTCCTGCGTTCTGTGTGGATCTATCTGCGTTTGTTGGCCAACTAAGCGCTAGTGTTCAACATATCTTTACATCTCTAGTCTATGCATACATACACAGCACAAGAAGTACTCCGCCTACTTCTGGTCTTCGACCACCCGCGGTGCCAACCATCTCGAGTAACATCGAGAGGCATAGCCTTGCCCACTTGTCAAGGGTATCTTAGACGATATGCGAAACACCTACACGTAGTTGGAACGGAACTCACGCTTCGGTGATGGACTGGTCGTTAGTCTGGTGGACCACGGCCTTGGTACATATGTCCTTGTATTGCCTTCGGCCTCTATGCTGTGTTTCTNGTGTCCGAGGGCTCTTTTCTCGAACAGTAGGTGCGATACCTGTTCTTTTCTTTCTTTCGATCATTTTGTTTTCTTTTTCCGAGTGGTTTGTATCCTATTTTTGTTTTTTGTTTTCTCGCGGCGTCGTATGTGCCGGGTTTTGAGACCACGGGCTCCCCATTTTTTGTGGACTATAGAGCTAATGTGAGAAACAACAACAACAACAACAATATATATAGTCTACTGCTACGACCTATAATCTGCGCCTGTGAACAAATTGCTACCTCGAAAAACCTTCATTCGCTCGTCAATGAGGGGATCATGGCTTTTCCGAGCACGGAGACCGACCGGTTCGCCAAACAAGCGATGTGACTCAACTTTCGTATTTCGCCCTTTTTTGGTGTATCCTGCTGCTACGTACGGCGTTTTTTTTTTTTTCTCCTGTCATTGGACTCTAATCGTCTGCCCCCCTGGCCCCTATCCCCCACTTCTTCTTCTAGCTAGATGACCCAACCGGGGTCACATAGGAGGGGGGGGCTGGACCCCCTCCTGCGGTTCCTGCCTGGGGTATTTTTATCGTGAGAAGGGTACAGCAATCCCTTCCCTCGCGACTTGCGAAGTCGATTATGGTTTACTGACAACGAGCTTTCTTTGCAGCGCGTCGCTTTCATCCTAGACCAGGATTTACTTAGTGAGACAAAAGCTAACTCTGCCGGGACTCGAACCCATGACCTGGCCCTTACCAGGATGCGAGGTTACCCACTAGACCACCCGGGGCGACCGGTTGTTTCCGGTCGGCTATCTTCCGTCGTACAACCGCGGGTGGAGACGTGCACTCTTGCTCTTCTACAGAGCTCAGTCAGGGGCGCAAACTAGCGAATAATCGTGCTGTCCTTTTCGGTCGTGTACTACGCCGTACATAACAACACACAACAGAGGGCTTGGAGTGCATATCGAGGAGACGTGTTCTTCCTTTTGTTCCGCCCAAAGCGATGGAGAGGTCACAGTACAGTTCTCCTTATATAATCTACTGCAGTGGCGTACTCCCGCCCCGTTTGCCCCTCCGTATATGACACAATATAACACACCCCCTTGACCAATTTTCAAAGCTCGATTTCTCAACTGCAGAAACAGTCACAGTGCCGAAAATGGCGGCGTTGAAACCGTCTTGTCGAGAGCTTTTCGAAAATGTATCATTTCGTTTATGCATCCCCTTCGTCGTGGAGTAATCGAGCTTTGAAAATCGGTCCAGGGGATGTGTTATCTTGTGTCATACACATACGGCATTATCTCGACCTGATGTTGTTTCCTCGCCTTTCACTTTTATCGCATCGTCCCATCCTTACCAAACCTACATTCACACCTTGCCCGAGACCCCCCAGAGTATCCCCGTCGCCGTGTACTCCAGCCTAACAATCGTCCCAAGTACAGGATGGTTGTAGAGTCTACACCTTGTGTAACCACTACCTCCATGTCGACCAGGCAAAAGGCGAAGTATATCGTCATGCTACACGCGTTATTATACGCCGGCACGCGAAATAAGGTGTTGGTCAAGACTGACCGGACGATGCTGCCCTTGCCGCCGTCTGTAGACTCCCTACCGCCATTCGTGCGACCCCCCCCAAAACGGCAAGGATGACATATCTACTGCAACCAGCTTCTGGTTCACCTTATGAAACGCAGCCTGGACAGGCGAACACCCCAGCAGCGACAAAGCCGCGCGCCCCGGCAGTGTAGATGATACGGCATGCGCGAGTAGAGCCGGGCAGGTTGGATGAGTTCTCAATGCTCGGTCGCACCAAGCAGAGTTTGTGTACCAGGTGAACACGCATGAGTGAGGCTTCCGTGCTTGCCATGCAGGGTGGCCACAGGAGTGAGGCTTCTGTATTTACCATGCAGGCAGACCAAGAGAAGGCAGTCTAAGATCCTCCCAACATTTCGCCACCAACGCCTGTTCAGGGTGGTGATATTCTGACGATGTCGGAGCCACGGTTGCTCACATCGGATATGCTTCTGTGTTCTCGATTGCTAATGAGGGGTGATGACGACAGTAGTGTGGTAGGTCACAGCCCTCCAGGCACGTGTCGGGGAGAGCATCGAAGATCTTTCTGGCACGTAAGGTATAAACACGCGGGTTTATTGGCCCCGCATGAAATCACTCAGGGATATTGTGGGTTGTCAAGCATTTTTGTGGACGAAGAAATAATAGGATTATACCGGTTCGAATGTAGACTATCCGTTGTTGCCAACAACCCCAGACTACGGATATATATGTGGCGCCATTCGGTGTCGTCGAAATTTCGAGTGTTCCCAGGAGATACCGCATGCACATCTGTTTGGTTCCCACTACCCCCCCTCCAGCGTGCCCTGTTCCCCTTTTCCCCCACCAAGTGTCAACCATAATCTTCAAGCCCGTCGTCGGCAAGTGCCAGAGAGGCTAGATTCGGACCCGTCGGCCGCAAGCGCAAAAGCAAAAGTAGCTGCAGATTCCGATACTTTTGTCGGTAAGTCGTCTGAGGTGTTCAACCCCCTGTGTTTGAAGGATTCGCAAGGCAATGGGACCAGAATGGTGCACGAGCTGCTCATGCCCAGGGGCCGGCTCCATACGGGTGGGAAGAGCTCCTCCTGGGGTCCACATGCGCGAAAAGGCTGGCATGCACAGGCAACCAGGTCGGTTCGGAAGGGGTTCCTTGAACAGGTTGGAAGATGGTATACCGGGGGATATCTGGTAAGTGGACGCATGGACCCCTTTCTACGAGTCCGTGAACCCTTGCGACTCCCGTCTAAATGTAACAGGATCGTATTGTTTAATTTTGCGCCTGAAGTACAGACTCGGGGAACGTGTTTCCCGTCCAGCAGGCAGAACCTTTGTCACTCCACACCTTCGAACACTTGTCGAAAATCACGTTGCAGTTTGATGTTCGAGCTTCGCTCGCACCCCCCTCACCCGGAAACGACCAGACTGGCTACATGTACACCCACCTGCCGTCGAACCAAACGACAGGTCGGCATATTGTTACATTCGTGACCACGGCGTGTTCTCTCTCACACACAAAGAAACTACAGAAATCCTTCCTCCAGTCGTCCTATTCCACTCCGCGATCTTCTCCCTCGACACGAATAACCCACAAGAGAGGGTTAGTCGGCAAGAACGAAAGCCAACCGGCATGTGAGATGTGCTAAAAGGCGGCCCTGAAGGGCTAATCGCGGACTGGCTATCTATTCCCCTTGTCTTCTTTCATACTGTCGGGGCAAACGCGAATAGACTTCATATCCCGAACGAAAAGCGTCTGATCCGGTCGCCCACCCGCAAAGTCGAGGCGCGAAGCTGTCAAATCGTTCATATTTCCTCCGGCATCACAGAAGCAGAGACGAGAGGTAATCGTCCATTTCATCTTCCGCCGTCCGGTCCCTCTCCAACTCCCCCGCCCAGGCTTTCCTGGACGCGTCGTCACCAGCCATGGCACCGCCACCCGCCTCCGCCGCCAATCTACCACTGTCACCGCCGCCCGCACCGGCAGCTGCTGCTGTTCTTTCCGACGAATCCAATCTGTCCCCCCATCTCGACGGCCTGTTGCGCTTTTTGGCGCCAGTCTGTGTGTCCCCCGCCGCTGCCACCGCCTGGCGAATCAAGTCATGCCCTTCTCCAGCAGAAGTTTCTCGAAATTTTATTCGGTGCCTGTCGTCGGCGTCGCCATCTGGAGTAGCTGATGCCGATCCTGACGGTGACGGTGTTGACGATTTTCCTCTCTTTCGTCGTCGTTCCCCGTCGCTGTCGGCCTCACTTTCTTGCTCTTTCATTTGTGCTTCCGCCTTGCGTTGCCGCCTCAACGCCTCGATCTTTTTTCGGAACAATTTCCGCGCGCACTGCGGGCACACGCGTACCTGGGACACACGCGCGTGTGTTGGTGTGAGCGTATTCACGCTCGGAAATAGGTCCATCGCGGTTGCAGGGCTTGCAAATAAAAAACTTTGAAGAAGGTCGACCCCCTATCATATCCTTCAAACCAAGTCACGAGATGAGAGAAAAAGATTACTCGCAGTTGATTTGCTTTGCCGCAGAATCTCGTCGTCGCCAGTGGTCTGCCTTGGCCACTCCAAAGGCATACCGTCGCCAAACCCGATGGGAAAACGTAAGTTGCCAGTACACCGACGACAACCATCGTGTACTTCGTGTTTCAATCCTTCACGCTCAGTTCCATCACCTTGACGAGCTCATTCTTGACCGCACCGGCCTCCTTGTACTTGAAATTCAGCTCGTAGCTGTGGAGATCTTTCCTCTCCTGGCACCTCAAAGCTCCGCATTCAAACTGTCCCTGGCAGTAGGTGGGAAAAAAAAAGACAAAATTCAAGTGTTAGGAATGCTCGGCACTCGAACTAAAGCGACACAAACAGCGCCATTTGATGGGGCGGCAATTATACTTGAAGTACATATACATATGTGCTGCTTGTTTACACGCTATGCCAACCAAGTTAGAGTTGGAACCATATATGTGCCCCGTCCTTCATGTACGCAAATGACATAGCAGTCGCGCCGCTCGCCAAAACAACTGTCGACGACGACCTTACCATTTATGTGGATAAACGTCCATCGGTGCGCTTCCCTATGCCAGCCTCACACCACAATAGCGCCAATGGGTGTCGTGCAATTCCGCCAAGCAGTAGTCAAGTTGTTTAGGCTTCTACGGTACATTGTCTTACTGCAACGGACTACGCTCACTTTCCCGCTGACGACGTCTTTCTCTGTTCTCCACCGCAGCCCCACTTTGTCTTCTCGATACCTGGTGTAAGGGCAGGCATGAAATGTAACAGGACATGATGATGAGTGGAAATGCAGGCGCAAAAAGCTAAGAAGAAACAGATTGGATTGCATGGCAAGGTCCGAGGACACAGCTCTAAAGACTCTAAAGCATGCGGGGAAACTCCTGTTGAACCGCCTCTCCCAGACATGAACATTATGACAGAGAGCGTCCTCCCTGAGATATAGAGCTAAAGCGTCACAGTACTACCCGTGTAGTGCTTCCATCGCTGTCGAGAGAGAGGGCTACTTCGAAGATCGGTAAAACCGAAAAAAACGTGTCACACAGTACACCTGTCAGAGAGCAAAGCTGGTTCGGGCATCTGGCAAATCGTTCCGCATGGGACGGGGCTATCAAATACACCACATTTCCAGGCCGATTCTACCGAGAGTAGCAGCAAGCAACGTTGGATACCTCGAGAGGTCTGCCAGCGCATACTCCTTGAAGAGGAGTTTGTAGTATTTCGCTGCCATGCGCACTTCCCAAGCCGTAGGATCCGCCTCTGCCCCTTCCAGTCCCCTTGCCTGCGGTGACATTGTCACATGGACCCCGACAGCATACCGCGGGTACACAATAGAGCCGGGCAGGACTAAACAAGGTTAGAAAGCCAGCAAGGACAAAGGTGACAGCACCCAGAGTTGGCGTCCTTACAAACATACCGTCAACATGTTCATGGGTTTCTCAATCGAGGGAACAAAAGTTCGGTACAACAGGTGTGCTGACTGATGGTAAGAGTTCCGGTCCGTCCCAAGTCTATCGACTATGGAACAAAGGGACTTAAACGGACCGAGAATGTTACGCGAGAAGGAAGGGAAAGGTTGACAACCATTGCCCAAGGAAGGACGACACATCAAAATTGAGCCGACGTCCAACAGATGACAAGGCATGTCATCACGTTGTCCTGCCAACGCACTAAAAAGCAACTTCTGCGTACCAGCATACAGGACTAAAAAATGATAGAGGTCTACGCAAGACACCGCCCGTAAGTGAAGAGACTTAGCCCCTTCCCTGTCCTGCTCATTATGAGCCCTACCACGTTAAGCCATCAGGGGCAAGGGAGACCCGCGCAGAAAGGGTAGCACCTTTAGCAACTCATCCTTTGATATGATTGAGGACGTACCGAAACGTGCCGAGCATCAATCACGTCAAACTGTTAGCCCTGCGCCTGACCCCCCAAAACGTTGTATGCGCGTGGCACGGCTATTCGGCTTTCTCTGACCAAAACAAAGTTTTTCCGCTCGTCCGGTTGACGACGCCAAACCTCGATTTGACTTGGTATTACACAGCGAGAGGAGAACGCGAAATACTCGATGCCATCAACGAACTGGCTCTTGCGGTTCGGTACACACCTGCGAACAGGACATACGCGTGTTATTGTCGGTCAGTTTTTCAATCGGCGGAGTCTATCCCGTGAAACTCTAAAAAATATGGTATTTTCCGGCCAAATTCACAGCGGTGGCGAGGGTGTGGAGCTATTGCGACAATCGCCACCGACCGAAACATAGCTACCGTTCTCACGGAGGTGACAAAAGAAACCGCTCCAGAATCCGCTGCGCGGACGTCTCTCAGTACGAATCCTAAGATGGGGTAGTTTCGGGTGATGCACGGGTCCAAAAAAAATATCCCGCTGCTGTCAAGCAAAAAAAATCTGGTGCCCACAACCAGCCGATTTGGTAGCGACGGGCGGATCAAGGGCGCGGAGGCCCACTGCCGTCTACGCGGCGAGAACCTAGGGAGCGCGCTCTGGAGGGAGCACTGCTAGGAGAGAGGATGCGAGGGGGTGGTCTGTCTCGGGTGTGGAAGCGGGGGCAAAGCAGGCGCGACGGTGGAAAAAATTCAACTTGCTGTGTGGGATTCGATTTTTTCATCATCATGCGTTTTTTTCTGCTCATCAAGACTTTTGGGCGACATTGCGTGACTCCACCACCGGCGCTGCACCGCAGCTCTTGCTACCGTTCCTGCGCCATGAGTAGCAGTGCGTGCCCTTCCTTCCTTGCAGTGTCTCTTCAACCCCGTTTGGGATTGGGAACGGTGGCGGCGGCTTCAGTGCTTTTTTTGTACCATGTTGAAAAATCAGAGACCCTACTTGCTGCTCTTTTCTCGTTGGGGGTGTTTGTTTTCCCGCTCATCTCTGACATTTGTACCGGGCGCAACGGCTCTGCCGCCGGCGCTACTGCAGCTCTTGCTACCGTTCCTGCACCATGAGTAGCAGTGATTGTCTTACTTTCCTCGCAACGCCTCTTCAACCCCATAGATGGGCGCGAAGGGCGGTGGCGGCTCAGTTCCTTTTTGGTACACGTTGAAAAAATCAGAGACCCTGCCTGCTTCTTTTTCTCATCGAGGTGGGGGGTTGTTTTTCCGCTCATCTCTGACATTTGTACCCGGGCGCAACGGCTCTGCCGCCGGCGCCACTGCAGCTATTTTGCTACCGCTCCTGCACCATGAGTAGCAGTGATTGTCTTACTTTCCTCGCAACGCCTCTTCAACCCCATAGATGGGCGGGAAGGGCGGCGGCAGCTCAGTTCGTTTTTTGTAGCATGTTGAAAACATCAGAGACCCTACCTTACCCTACCTGCTCTTTTCTCATCATCGATCGGTGTTTTTTTTCCGCTCTCATCTCTGAAATTTTTGTGCCCGGGCGCAACGGCTCTGCCGCCGGTGTTACGGCAGGTCATGCGACCGTTTCGGCGCCATGAGTATCAATGACTGCTCTTCTCTCTATGCAATGTCCCTGCGGCCCCACAGCCGGGTAGGAACGGGGGCGGTTGCAGCAATCCCATGTCGATGTCAACTAAAAAAATAACGAGACACACCACACCCGATGTTCAGTCTTTTCGCTTGGCAAAACTGACGTGGCTACCAAAAATGCGAGGATTGATTGGTCAGGAAAAAAAAGTTTCAGAAAAATGGGCTGTTCGAAAGAACCTCCGCGTGACAGAAATTTGGCCCAAAAACAGGGTCAGGCGCATGGCTAATTGTTGTCGAGAGTAAGCTGGTACCCTAAATGTGCGTGTTATTGCACCCCCGTGGCAGCGTTTTTCTGTAATTTTTTCTCCACGACCAGGGAGGTATTACCTCCGAAAGGGGTGGTTTTGGAAACATCACGTCGAGGGCTTTCCGGGGCGGTATCAGTTGGTGTTCGCACCCTCCTAGTTGTGGAGAAATACGCTATAGAAAAACGCTACCACGGGGGTGCAAAAACACACACTATTACGGTGCTTTGAATATGAGAATAAACAATGTAGCCTGAGAACGTGTCTGCTGAAGCACTAGAGCCTACCGTGGAGATCTGTGTAATCGACAAAGATACAATACAGCATCAAATCACCTGTTGAAGAGGGACGCAGGAAAAGAAAAACGATGAAGGTTCAACACAAGATATCACCCGAGAAACGGCCAAAAAAGGACGGGTTAATCCCTATCACGCCCTCCTTTGCTTTCTCCGCCAATCCGATGGCAGTGTTTTCCATCTTGCCTGCTGTGCCCGGCTGTCCTCGTTGTGATCGCGCACGAAGCGGTGTTGCCGCTGCAAGGCCTCTTCGTCAGTCAAACGCCTTTGCCCTGGCAATCCCTTGGCCTCTATCGCTCCTGATGATGGCACCTTTGCGTTGAGGTGGTACCTGCCTCAACCCAAACCGAGGGGGAAAGACCCGGAAGAGCCGGAAGAATGTCGTCCGTGAGACGCTCCACTGACGCCGCGCCGGAAAGTCCACGCCAGACACAAGCCGATATCATTGTTTTTTTCGGAGTCACCCGAGCACACACACCCGGTAGGTCAAATTGGTAAATTCTGGTGTTTTGCACACTCCTTTTTACAAGCGCAGCCACAACCACACAATATTTGTTCTCCAAACTTCTCAAGGCTGCAGGTATCTTCGTCCCCCTGGCCTTATGGTATCAACGGCAAGCAAACAACCGATACACCAAATCGCCAAGGCCTCAAGTGAGGTGATGATCGTGGGTTATCCGATGCCGCGCAGAGGGCACAGCAAATTCCACAAAAGAGGAAGATGGGTACAAGTATGAGCCCTGTATACAGCTATTTAAACTCAAGCACTTGGTCGTGCCTGCTGAGACAGAGAGGGCACCATCCGCACTGCTGGAACGGATCGCGATACAGTTGTAGGCTCTTGCGCTGGTTGCTGCACTGCAGCACCCTGCGATATTGTAGGCATGTACGCTGTGCCCTTCAAAGACTTCGGCAACCAAATCTGTGCGGGATCCCTGAGGACGAGCAATGCCACACCTCCAACTGCTTACACACTCGAGCAACCGGTAACTAGACTAACGTACCCATAGCATACCTGTGATAGTTACGTATCAACTCCTGGTGTTGGGCAAAGGCGTTCATCGTACCCCCGCTCCTGCTGCCGATCCTGCTGCTGCAGCTGCTGCCCTTATTACCGGCGCTTTGCTTTGCAGCACTCCTCTCGGCACCCGAGAATCCCTTGCCGACAGTTAAGGCTTGCGTGTACCCACCTCCGGGGTTGAGGCGAGCGTACTCCTCATTTCGTCGAGCCATTTGCCTCGGCGGTGAACTGCTGCTGCTGCTGTATGCTACTTGATGTGGTACCTGGTAATCTCTCCGTGACGTGAAGAAGTACCAGTTGAAATATTGCTATACGCAGCGGTTTCTAGGTGAAGTCTGCCAAAGGGCGCAGCGTCTTCTTCCTCGCCCGAGCGGAGCGGGTTTTCTCGGTTGCTCACTCCTGCCCGCGCACCGCCTCAGGCCTCGTTGTTCTAGCTAGCTTGGAGGTAGGGGTTCCGCGATATGGAGAACCATATGCTGGGCCTTTCTATGGGCCTTCATGCCTTCATCCTTCATTGCGCCGCCCTCTACGATGGGTTACACCGCACACGAGTGGCACCGCCTTTTGCTTGCACAGCTGTGAATCCTGTGAAGCTGTGAAGCTGTGAAGTCTGAAGTCGCATTACCTGCTGCACACGAGTGCTCTTCCAGCAACAGCCGGGGTGACATGGAGGTAGCCCACCATGTCGATCTCCAGTAGATCTTCAACCTCGTCTTCAGAGCACCATGGACGACATGGCGGCAACGAAATTGCTGATGGCTACATGTCCGACAGCAACTTCGTGCTGACGGTACGCTCTCATCATGTCATCATATTTTCTCTTCTCCGAGCGAGACGTCTTGTGTGCCCTGCTCTGTGCCTCTGACCCCGTGTTTCTCCAGAGGTGACAATGTAGGGGGCGTGTCGTTAGCACATGAGTACAGCAGTGCTGAGCTCGCGACAAATATGTACATACCTGTTCGCCCCTTTGACTACACGCACTCGAGCGAGCAATGTTGTGCAGTTATTTGGTGGCTTGCGCATACTCCCCGCTAGCTACCAGGTTATGAGTATGTCGCTGTCAGGAGGGGGCGAGCGCAAAGCAAAAACGATAGGTGTATGTTCAGTTATTATTCGTGCACGCCAATGTTTCCCCCAAGTTGTCTCGGAAACACATTGCAGACGACCGGGCGATGAGCCTACAACACGTACTCACGTCTTCCACGTGAAGGTCGAACGTTGCGTCGGAGCAGAGTAGGTACGGCTTCATTGCGACTCCGAGGAGGAATCCTGGTGTGTACATTGACTTTGTATGATCCCGGCTGGTGCGTCAAACGGGTGCCGAGCGGCTTAGAGCGGCACCCAGAATAGACGGGATGACGCACAAACTCACAAACTGGGCTTTGTGCACGTCGGTGCTCCATCATGTTTTGCCTTTTTGTTTCTTCCGACACGGTGCACGAACGATGAGTAGAGACGACAAACACGTCGTGTTTGATCCATTAAAAAAAACGATGAGGACCACAAACCGAACGTGCGTAATCTGAAGTAACTCAAGAGGCACGTGGTTATGCCGTGGCAATATTTGTTGAGCCGTGCCCCCAAGCTAGGTATGTTGCCAACAACGTGTTGTCTGACTGGGAATGCTCGGAACCGTTGTATGTTGTACATCCTTGTCGTACACAACGAAAACAACGTGTTGACATGCAAATCGCGCAGGACGACAAGTGGGAAGCCACGAGGGTTTATTCAGAAACCAAATCGGATGAAGATGATAGGGAACGAGAAAACGATGTCCAGTACCAGCATAATCAACCCACTGGCAAAGACGCCTACAAAGGTGAAAAACTCTGCATCATGTTTTGGTGTTGTGTGTCGGTGTTGTTGTGAAGGAGAATGTGAAACCTTCGAGTGAGAAGAAAATCCTCCCATAAACCATGAAAATTACGTACGAATCGTGAATGGCCATTGAAGTTGACATTTGGGGGGGAGAGAGAGAGTCAAGCACGTCTGGTGTCTACCGCCTTTTGGCTCCAAAACAAAGCTGTGCCACCTCCCGCATGTGTCCATGTTGCAACCATGCCGGTGCCGCAATGATATTGTCCGCTGTGATGCACAGCGGCCTGCACCAGGTTGGGAATTGCTCCGTCTTCCCACATATTGTCTAGGCTACCTTCGAGCCGTTTGAGCCTTCGATACGGGCTTCTAAACCCAGCCTCGGCTGCCGCGCTGTCGGCGGGACTACTACGCAATCGCTGCATTCGGTCACTGAATCTCGGCAGGTGCGACACTGACGATTGGGCTGGTTGATCTGGATTTTCCCGTCAGTAAAGTGATTACTTATTTTCGTAACTATTTCCGTGCACTGTTGTTGTCGGCAAGATACATAGACCGTTGTCTGACATCCAGTACGTCTTCGTTGGTGCTGCATGCACAGCTATTAGAATGCAGCCAACTTGTATGGAAAGTTCGAGCGTACCCCTCAGCTAGTTTTACACGATGTTTGGGGAGTTTCACTGCTTCCAGTATGCACGAAGCGGACGTAACAACACGCGGCGTCCCCCCAGTGGGGTAGTCTGGGCGTTCGAATCGGTTCTGTTATTCCTGGTGCACTGCCTCGTGCCGTCATCGTTCGGCTGCTGTCTGTTTCGCATTACTTGCAGCAACTTGCTCCGGGATGACAGCGCTCGCCCCTTGCTGGAAGCAATGTTTGGAAACCCTTCTTTGACAAAGCTGGATTTGTCCAGGAACTTGGTGAGCTTGATGGTTGGCTACCTAAAGCGTCGACAGGTTTCTTTCATTCACGCTTTGGGATAGTTTCTTGAAGGGTGCACGCGAGTGGGTCAATACGATTGGCCTGTGGCTCCTTAGTCCTGTTTATCTCGTCTAGCTCCGAAGTAGGGCGGGCTCGAGTGGGTCAAGCCTTTTGGTCGCTGGAACACGTGTGGGTGGGGTAATGGATTTCTTTTTTACTCTTTTCATTGAAATATACATAGGAAGAACTGGGGATGTAAACGTTTCAGGTGCGGGTTCTACGTTGGTTGGAGTTGAATGACGTTGTCCGGGCCTTCTTGACAGAGATATCTTTCACCGCTTCCACCGCTTCGAGTGCTGACGAAAGCCCGTAGAACGAGTTTGTGTTTGATCTCTAGTAGGGACGATATGGTTTGGTTTGTTGCCCATTCAATCAGCCTTTGCCAGGGCTCAAGTTGTGAGATACTGCTTGGCGATGGAATCAAAGCCAGTAAATCGGTTCCGATGAGCTCCCTCAGGAAGCCATGACACTGCTTCGAGAACGAACCGTCCCACCAGTTTTATTGTTCATGAAGACTCATCCGCGAGGAAAGCCTCGGATATCTCAATTATGATTAGTTTGTGCTGTGGTTGATGGCTTGTGGCTTGATTCCACATTACCGAACCGTTATGTCCCTCTGCCTCCTGTTGTTTTCGACACTCTCGATCGTCCAGCTGAGCGACGATTTCGGAGTACTCATTGCACGAAGTCTTTCTTCTCCTCTGTGTGCACTGAAAGAAGTCGTTCTTGCTGAGAACCTTTTCTCGGATGGCTTTGTTGAGACTCTGAGCACAGGCATGCAGGAGCTGAAGCAGGTACAC